TTTCACATTAAGTGGGTTCTACACCTACATATAATTATTAGATGCACAAAAGAAAACGTTAGTTTATTATACTTTCGATAAAGAAGGTCATTAAATGTGTTTGCATGAAAAAGTGTATCATTTTACAGCTGTATACAGTGTATAGTATATACACTTTATATTATTTTTTTATTTATTTTTTTTATTATATTTTATATACGTTTTAATGATTGAGAAATTAATGTTCGTTTAGTGTTAAACTTGAAAGCGAGAATAGTTATATGAAATTATTTTGCTCACATAAAACGAGTCATGATTATGTTAAAAAAAAAAAATGTTTTTTCCTTTATTTTTATTTTTTTAATTTAGAAAAAATATATTTATAAATGATTGCATAAACGAACTCGATTGAAGTATTTGAGTTAACTTTTGTTGATAATATAAATAAGTTCGCCTTACTAGTATTATCAACAAAAGTTTCTTCCAATACCCGTGTAAAATACCGAAAATGTATTAATCATAAAAAAAAAAAATGTTTAATTGAAATTCATATTATTCAAACTCCACCGAGAATAATGGCAAAGAAATAGGGTTCTTGGAGAATGTCTGACGTTTATAAGGTTTTATTTATTACTTTGGTCATTATTTTCGCAATATTTTACGTGTTTGTACTTCACTCTTTCACTTTTCTTTAAATGGTGAATTTCTATATTTATTTATTTTTTCAGACATTAAATTTAACAGGACATAATTTTTTTATATACATATCATGGGGAGGAAATTTAGCACAACGATTCTTTCTACATTAGAAAAATATTTGGAATAAAGTAGAAATAAAATTTATCAAATCCTTAAAATTCATTATTTTCAAACAATATACTAATACAACGCACGGTACAAATACAAAAAATGATTAAAAAAAAAAAAAATTGTAGACAATTAAATTTATTAAGTTGAAATAATTAACTTTTGCAGAGTATAAATAAAATGTTTCAAATAAATGTTCAATATTTTTTGTTCTGTATACACATGATATTACATTTAATTTATGCTATTCGTAGCACATGTTAAAATGCCAAAAAAATTTTTCGTTCTATAGTATATTTAATTTTTGATATTTTTATACTAACTAGATATATGTATATCTATATACCCAGACTTGGGTAGTATTCCGAATACAATATTCGGAATACTGTATTCAGAATACTTTTAAGTATTTCGAATACTTTTTAAATACTTTTTTTGAAAGTATTCAATAAAGTATTTTGTTTTATTATTGTTATTATTATTGTAAACCATAAACCATAAGAGTTATGTAATATAAAAATACAATAAAATACCATATATTTAGTCTACAATTTCAAATATTTCTGTTGAGTGGACATCTATTATTTTTATAGTAAGAAAACTAGAAGTATTTTAAAAGTATTCGAAATACTATTTTTTATAAGTATTCGAGTATTTATTCTAAATACTTTTAAAAAGTATTTTACCCAAGTCTGTATATACCTTTGGGTATATGTATATGTGCTATTGGAATATAGCAATTGAATTTCACGTATATTCAAATCAACTGAATGTAATTAAATACATTAAAAATACACTTTGTATTGTCAATTTATCAATTGGAAATAATTTTAGAATTTTTTTTTAAACGTTTGCATAAAAATTTTAATTTGTGAATAATAAACAGCCTTCTGAAGGTAGTTTTGTCGTAAAAAAAAAAAAAAAAAAACACAAAAAACAAAAATATTTAAACATGAGCCCAAATAACTTCTAAACTTCTGTACTGTACCTAAATAGATAAATTGGCTATAAAAAGTTTATTTTATATACATTAAAGAGAAAGTTCAACAGGAAATTGTTGTTTTTAAACGACTTACCAGAAAAATTACTCCCCAAGTAGTGCCAGTATGAAGTAATACGGAAACGTTTGCATATCTAATTGGTTTCTCTTTTTCTTGAATCAAAAATACAAGACCAAGAACTCGTTAAAACTTTGTAGTCGCCTCCATTTCTTCACGCCCTTATGTGCATTTCCAAAATGAATCTCCTCCCTTTCGTTTTCTCTTTTTTTCGTTCACAAAATGATTATATATTCTGGTTACGTTTCAGAGCACGTTACATATAAATTTTATTCATTTCTTTATTTTACAAGCAAAATAAAAGAAAAACGCAACAAATCGAGAAATGAGTAGAGCAGTTGAAAATAATAATAATAATAATAATACGAAAGAGTTATTTGCTATAGCGTTATTTTACCCTAGCGATTCCAATATTCGATGACTGAAATATAAAAAGGAACACCTCCGAAAGACAAGAAATCGAGAAAAAACGTCAACATCAATATTATTAGTATTTATTATAGTATAGTGACGCATTTTAAATTTATTTTGATGACATTTTCAATATTTTATATTCTGAAGTTTGTAATTAATATACTCATGTTTCGACTGTGACCACATAACGAACAATGTACTTGATATTATTTATGGTACATGTCACAATCATTTATTATAAAAAAGAAAAAAAAATTGTAGAAGAAAAGAATGAATATTTTGTTGTATACCTTTATTAACATCATACTCTATAGCGATTTTTTATTTTATCATATGCTACAGTTGAACTTAACATATTAAAATAAGTCCAAACGTTAAATTCTTAGCAATAAAATAAACGAGAGTAAATTAAAAATCAAAAAAGTATGAATATTTTTTTTAACTATTATTAAAAATCATAAAAAAATATAAATTAATAAATTCTCAAAATGTTCATACAATGTACATTTTTATTATCTGTGTGGCATATTCGATGTGTAACATTATTAGTTTTTCATTTTAATCGAAATGTATACATAACTAATGAAAATTATTATTTATTTTAGTTAAAAATGTCATAAAATATGTATATATAAGTGACATCATAAAATTTACAATAGTATTTAAAATTAAAATAACAAATAGCTAAGCTAAAAATAAAAATATTTTTATGAAAAAATTACCTATTGATTTTTAATTATTTTTTTTATTCATAGTTTGTGCATATGATCGGTATTGCAACTGCATTAATTATGAGACTATTTTTACTTTTTTTTTTTATAATCTGCTGTTTTTATTTACATCCATTGTTATATAACAGATCTCATAGCATTAACCATAATAAGATGTCCGACAAGTGAAATCGAATATTTTTCCTTTTCGATATTAATTTCTGTTTGTCGTGTTATTAACATTATTACGATTCTTGATAGAATAATTTTCTAATGAATTATTATATGACACGAAAACGATTATTTATTTCGAATGCAAAGCATACCAATCAATATTTTTGTAATTCTCATTTAATATGATCAAGTAGGTAGGTACATCAATATTCTACATCAGTAACTGATCAGTGCAACTGTTGTCGATTGCATTCATATCGTTTAGAGTCATATACGAATAACGTGGGCTTTAGACTTTAGTATTTCTGATACAAATAACCTAGGGGTTATATGTATATCATGATATTTAGGAAATACAATAATTAAAGTACTGGTGAGAGGTTTTGCAGGACCTGGGGTAAATTTTGCCACAGGGCTCTAGACATTGTTTTTCGTCAAGCCAAAATATATTTTCTTAGACGGCCTAGTACTCGAATGCCATATGTTACTATTATACATAGATTATGTAAAAATATTTTTCTTTTGTATGGATATTATATTTTATCAACGAGACGTCAACAATATTATTATTATTATAATTATTATAGTATTATAATTTATCAGTGTATTATTATTATTATACTATTTATATTGCAATAAAGGTACCTACTAAACATAATATTGAAGTTAGAGATTAAAATACCATCTATAATTTCAGATAACAGAGGGAACTTTTTATTTAATTTTAAGAACAATATTATATGGTGGCATTACATATTAAACTCCATGTATGATATGTATGTAGATCCCTAAATTAGTAGGGCTCTGAGTAGCTGCCCATTTGGCCCTATACTCCTGCTGGCTCTGGATATTTATACTTTTCATTACATAATATACGTAGTATATTTAACTTAAATATAACAACTATTATTTTCATCATTAATCATTAATGATTACTATAAATAAAATTATGAAAATATAATTGGTAATTGAAAAATCAAACTCTCAATGTTTTCTGTTCCCATTAAATAAAATAAAACAGTTTCAACTGAACGGAATTTGAAGATAGTATACTCTCCTTCGAAATTAAGTTCGTACTGAATTTTGATGTGTTGTTCAAAGTTTTCGAAATGTATAACTTTATAACTAAAAAAGGGTAAAAAAGAAAAGCAAACAAGATTGGCTTAAATAATCTTTGAATATTTAGCTGTATAATAGTTCATTATTTGAGTTGGTGTTATATACGAAACCCAATTTAGAATAAAATATAAAAAAAAAAAATCCCGAATCGATAACAACAAAAACACAATGAGCTAATATTTGAAAATAACTTTAAATTCAACATGAAATACGATTCATTTTTTTTCAATTCCCCGTTAAATGCTTGTAGTATTCGTGTAATATTTAAAAATGTTTTTATTGTCATGAATGGTATTTTTCACGCTTTGAATATGAGCTATAAATCGATGTGCTGAACAAATATACACACATGAAAAGTCGACTTGGTACATATAAAATAATTATGTTGTACGATTGGATATAATGACGGGCGCACGCATATGTATCAGCATGTAATAGGCACCTAAAACTTTATCCTTAATAGTACCGAGTTGCTCTTATTGAGTTTATGTAGTATTCCTATAAATCGGCTGTATTCTTATACATTTGACTGTGTATTGTACAACGCAAAGCGGTGAGTCGTGGTAATACCTAGGTTTTATTTTCATCAACTCGAAAATAACATTCACGCTTAACGCTTAAAAAAGGGGATGGTATATATACAGAATATCTCTAATCACAGCCCTGTAAACGCAGATGCATGTTTGTCGGTGTAGGGCCGATGTCAACGGACACGAAGTGTGATGATTGGATCTCTTACCTTATTAAGACGATATCACAGACGGTCTGGCCGAGTTGCGATTCGTAATCTGGTCCGAGTCGATGGCGGCTTCGAACGACGATTTGAACGACGACGGGTGTCGACACGGCGATCGGCGAAGAACGCGTGCGAATGAAAAAAAAAAAACCGGCGAACGAGCACTTTGCGCGACACAACGATACGATACTTCACCGGGTCGGATATTTTCCGCGTAGTATGCGCACCGTCACCGAAGCGATTGTAGTCCCGTTGCAACAGATTTTCACGCGAAACTCGGACCGCTTTCGCGCAAACGAACGCGCACACACGCACACTGACACGGATGCGCGTAAACCGGATGCATCTGAAACGGCGGTGGCGATACGGGAGTATCGAAAAAGGCGGCGAAAAAAGTAAAAGAAGTTATATATATATATATACGACAGAAGAATTACTGGAAACGAAAAACGAACGCGCCGGGTCTCCTCGATAACGAGCGCGTAACGACCAAGGAGATCGCAACGACGGTTTCCGCGAATACTATTACTATTATCGGGCGCGCGCGGACGGAACCACCGCTCGTCTTCGGAGTGATCGGATGGAGCGCAGCGAGACGTGCGTTACGCCCGACCGGACCGACCACACACACACGGGAAACACAAGTAACGTATCGCCGCCGGTAAACGCCGCCACCGTAGCCGCCGCCACGCGCGCGCGCAAGCCCGTGCCTACTGATCCAGACGGCGCCACAGTACGCGCGCACCGAACGTCAGTACGATCGTCAGTCCGTTCCGGTTTTTCCACCGCTGACTGCTCGGCCGCTCGCACGTGCCCGCCCGGAGGGGGTACCGTTTCGCTTACGTACCCGGCGAGTTCGATTATAATAAATCTCCTGGGCCACGTACGCGGGCGTACCGAAACGCGCACTGCAATAGTGATTCGATAAAGGGGGACAAAATAAAAAACGTCCCTTTAAAACGAAAAAAAAAAGCTCAAGCTTATACTCGTCCTTAAATTATAGTTCCTGTTCATCTCCGAGACATTCGAGAACAAACAACACGTTTTTACCACGTCTTACACATCGCGTTATTGCTCTCGTTTCCACCGTTACGTCTTTACTTAAAACGACATTCGTACACGTACATTGCCCGTGCCCGCTACCACTATAAGACTAAAGCGGTGCAACGGGAACAGGTGGATAGTTTCACGCGGACTTTCTGAGCTTACGAAGCGAATGAAAAATGAAAAAAAAAATGTACCGGGCAAGTACAATAAAATGCGTACGCGTTTGGTTCGGGTGTAAATATTTTATACCGCCAGTTTTCCGTACGGGCGCGAATGTAGACATTTTTCGTCAGACCCAGCCACTCCGGGTCAATTGGATAATGTATCACGCATGTGGTACGAATCGGTACAAACGATGCTCGTTACAGCCCTCAACTGGAACCTCATTTAACTCCCTCGTCCTTCTCCCCGACATCGGATTGAGCACATAATTAAATGCCTCGATTTGGTTTTGTCGGGACAGAACAAACCGTGTGATCACGAAACGGTATTCGTGTGCCATGCACTGCACGCGCGTAACGCCATTTTATATAATGCACGTCAATCGTTCACTAATTAACCTTTTCGAATACTGTGGGGGGCAGAAGTGGTAGTCGGTTAAACGTTAATGTGCATTTCAACAGTTTATCGTGATGGTACAGTTGTTCCTTCACACGTGGCATTTGTACGCACGACGATATTTATATTACCAAAACGATACAACGTAACGAATTACACACTGCATTCTGTCCTCATGTTTTTGCGTTGAGTTTTTGCATCACTACGCGCTTGCAGGGTGTGGGTGTACGTTTCAAGCATCTTTACTGACCCAATCAAGGCTATTTGGGTAGGTGTCCGCTGAACAAGCCCGAGTACGACGAACAACGACAATGCATAATGTATAACAATAATGTATCAATATAACAAGGTTTATTTTGCCGGGAACCTGAGAACCATAGTTCCTGAGAATTATATCCCCGCAGTTTTATTGATCAAAGGGCCGACGTCTGTTTCGGATAATGTTTATCATAAAAGGTCGTCCGCCAACCTCGTTTGAATACTCATTTATTATACATATGAATACTTTATAAACGTGCTGGCTTATACGAGAACATAGAAAAACAGTATATGGTAAGATAAGTCTAGGGCCCGGCCGAAGACCTGCTCATTTCGGTTGCAGTTTTGGCTGCGATAGAGGTACTCGGTGACTTAGACCGAATCTTAGATTATTATAGAAACCATAACCATTTGTAATTTATTTATCTTCTTCCGCGGAAACCGCTAACACGTATTATTATGATAATAAAATGTACCTATCGAATACCGACGTTCGTGCATGGCGAGCTTCGAGTCTCTTGAGTCACATAAATACTACCTCGCTTGATGAAATACAACCTGGTAATTGTGTGCATTATAAATGTAAGACAGCGCTGCGGAACAGCAGAAATAGAACACGGCTCTTTTTGACAACATTAGAGTAAAAAATGAATGCCGACGAATAAATTCACGAATACCTTTAAATGCGGTTCCGCATTTAAAGTCGGTGTATAATACAATAATTATTATGCATTATCATGAGGTATTTTATTGTTCTGAATCACAACATGACGATTAAATAATAAACATTATATTGTTTGAATAATTCTTCCCGATAACAGTGCTGGTACATATTAACGTGTACGATTTTTATCAATATCATTATTATATTTTATTTTATTCAAAACCTTGTTGGTGGAATATTATAAATACATTACGTATGTCGAACCACGTTGTGTCCCACAAGCCTCACTTCTTCGCAACTATATACATTTTAACGTTATTCAACGGTGGACATTTTTAATTAAATCATCTTTCGGATGAACCTAGATAGGAGTTAATTAAACGCCGTAAGTCAGTGTGTGTGTGTGTACATGTATTGTCGGGTCGCTACAGGAAACTTATAAGTTTCAAAATGTCAGCAAGACGTTATTTCGCACAACCATAATATATACCATGTGCGATGGACATAAAGGATAAGACTCACCACAGCGGTTGTATACTCTGGAAATACAGTGAGAATATTCGTGAGCAATAATTTCATTTAAAATCAAACGCATTCGGAATGTTTAATCGAATCACTGAAAAATATGCTTTCCAAACGGTATACGTTTGGGGAATCGGGTGACAAGAAAAAAAACAGCAATAGGATCCAGTAATAAAATCCGAGAAGTGGATTTCATGCGTTTCGTTGATTTTACATATTATCACCAAATGGGTCAGTTACATCGGGTCTTTAATTTCTGCATCATGACGTCGATTCCATTCAGTGACGGTACTAGAGTTTGCGAAGCTCTAGGCAAAATAAATGTTGGGTCTTATAATTTATATTAATAAAATATTTTAAGTTCAGTTAAATCAGAACCACGGGGCCTTAATTATAATTTAAGGCACGGGGCCCTGGGAAACTACTCCTATTGCCCTCTCCCTCACGCCGTCCCTGATTCCATTTCCGTTGCCCCGTTAACCGCACAAGTAACAACATCTGACAAGTAAAACATTAAAACAATACCTAAACAACTCGATAAAACGTATTTTCCATCGCTCGATTTTAACGTCCATTGCTTTCGTGTACTCGTTGCTTGAGAAACATTCGTCAATAACGATTTATAGTTTTAATATTGAAAGCAACGTTGTGACTACGTAAATATTGTTTAATATTTACCATGCCTAATAAAAGGGAGGATTAACCATTTATGGTACTGTTGTGGCTTCTGCACAAATGATTTACCGAACAGACGAAACGAAGAAATATTAGCTTCATATCAGTTTCACTAATAACTCGGTTTAATCGGCTGCCAAATATACAATAATGGAGAACGATACATCATTTTCGAGTTCAGTAGATAATCAACTGAACTGTATAGCTTTGTCTAGCGACTTCACGAAATCGTTGTTTCAAAGATTGTTGTTTTCTTCGTATGTGTATTGGTCAAAGTCGAAGTAACCAATATTTTTAGAAATAAACTAATTTATGCAAAACAGTCGTTTTATATGCAATGCTGTACATCGATGTCACGTTCACGTAAATACGTTAGCCGTTATATAATGTCCGTATATTTAGGTATTATACGCGCTATTATTAAAAATGTATTTTGTATAAAAATGTATAATACTGCCTAAAAAACATTGCAACGTAAGCTGTATGTGTATGGTAATGCATGCAAAACATTGAGTTTTCATTAATGATGTTATCGTTTAAAACGACAAAAATAAAAATATGTTACGATGAATGTGTTCATTTTTAGACTTTTTCAAATAGTAATTATGGATTGATTGATATTAATGGAAATCGTAGATAAAAATCTCCCTCACACAGACCAAAACACTACTAATCCACATAAGCCCAGCCACTGTAGCTATTAGTTTAATATTACTTGGTGTGTCTATAGTTTTAAAAAAATGTACTTGACGATTGATATATAATTTAGAAATAGTTTTCTAATTTTATAATATTTATAATATTAAATTATTATATGCGTTACCTTAATAAAGATATTGTTATAAATCAATTAATTTCAAACGATGTTGTTCGAGCCCCACATGCTTCGCACCACCGGCAATCGTGCCACACGATTCGTGTGTCCAAGGAAGCTTGATATTGGTCTATCCCGATCCCTCCGCCGCCGAATATTACAGTCCGGTTTCGAGTCTCACGGATTATCGTGAGCGACGGCATCGATGGGGGCATACAGCGGTGACTCACCACTTTTCATTTTCAATTCGTTCTTCTTTTCTTTTTTTTCGTCTTTCACTTTTCTTTTTTTGCGTCGTGGTGACGCCTTGACCTGTGCACGTTTTTAACTCGCAGTTGCATTTTATTTTTCTACTAATCAACGTGTGTATGCCTTATCATCGTCGTCGTTATATTCGACATAAGTGCGTCCTCGCCATCACCGTAATTAATTAACGTGTGTGCACCTTCGCCGTCGCTGTTCAAACCGGCGTGTACGTTCGTGTTGTTGCCCGGTTTGTTTGTGCTGTTTCATCATTGCTTATCTGCAACTTCCATCTCATGGTGTCAAGAATAATGTCCATATTTTCCATCATCGGGTGATAGTCAAATCGCTAATAATAAAAAAAAAAAAGTCTATGATCAGCAAATGATCTTCTGGTCATTTACTAATAAATATTTGTTAATTTATTATTATTCTGGGGCACCTCGTAAATTCAATATTTGTATATTATTATAATTATTAAGCGCAACGCGCATCCATTGTATACCTTGTTATTGTTTTTCAATCATTAACGTCGAATTGTACGATCGGTCTTCAATATATCTACCTATCCCGCAACCAAACGCGAGTCTTGGTGGTTAACTGCCACAGCCGTAAGAGCCGCCACAGCGTAGACAGAAGTAATTGCAGATATTTTAAAATAAAAATATAATAATCATAAATTAAAATTACCACCTTTTTACCAGTTATTATTCTGAAATTGGAAAAATCATAGTTTTATATGAAAATTTACATCAGATAAATAATCAGAATCTAAAATACATATGATTTTAGGGGGATATAATTTTTAGTTCAATTATTACCATTGACAGATTTCAATATAAAAAAAAAACCTGTGGGCGTTGTAGCGCCTTATATTCTACC